TGGGATAGGTGTAATGCGATGGTGATCTCCTGGATAATGACGAGTGTGAGCAAGGAGCTGGTTAGTGGCATCCATTTTTGATCTAGTGCAACAGTAGTATGGTCTGATTTACAGGAACGATTTGACAAGGTCAATATGTCTAGAATTTTTCATCTACATAAGGCTATAGTTTCTCATACTCAAGGTATTTCCCATGTTTCTGTGTACTACTCTCGCTTAAAGGATCTATGGGATGAATTTGATTCAATTGTCCCTCCTCCATCCTGTGAATGTGCTAAATCTAAGGATTATATTGATAGTATGATTAGACAGAAATTGCTACAATTCCTTATGGGTTTGAATGATAGCTATAGCCAAGCACACAATCAAATTCTCATGATGAATCCTCCTCCAAGTGTTAATCAATGTTATGCTATGATTGTGCAAGATGAGAGTCAGAAAGCCTTGGGTGGAGAAATTCATGGAGGAAGTGAAGATAATGATCATACTGCATTGCTAATAAATAGACATGGTGGCTCAAGATTTGGAGGTTCAGGATCTAGAGGCAGAGGAGGGAGATGATATGGAAATCCTCAGAAGCAGCAAATAAGAGGTTGTTCTTATTGCGATTATTGTGATATGATAGGGCACAATAGGGAAGATTGCAACAAGCTAAAACATTGCACTCACTGCAACATGCAAGGACACACTAAGGATATTTGCTCACAGTTGATTGGCTATCCTCCGGACTGGAAAGGAAAGAAGAGAGTTAACATGGTGCAAAACATCTAAATGGATCGCGAGGATCTCAGAGATCTGGGGATGAGCAATACAACCAACATTCGCAGCCTGGAACAAGCATAGGAAATGAGTTTGTTCCTCATTTCACACCAAATCAGTATAATCAGATCTTACAAATGTTGAACAAATCCCAAATCACTGAATCTAGTGCACACATGGCAGGTATGTTTACAAGTACCTTTTTATGTAATGGTTCCGATAGTAATTATTTGGACTGGATAGTAGATAGTGGAGCATCTGACCACATGGTTGGAACTACAATCTTACTAAATCATGGATTAACAGTGAGTAATCCAGGGAAAGTTCAGCTAGCAACATGAGACTCAGCAACCATTACACAGTCAGGAAACTTTAAGCTAACAGGAGGTGATGTTATTAAGGATGTCTATGTGTGCAAACCTTTATATTCAATCTTTTATCAGTATCTAAGCTCACAAAATAGTTAAATTATTGTGCTTTATTTTTCACTGACTTCTGCATCCTTCATGATCTCTTCACTGGGAGAGTGAAGGAGATTGGTAAGGATAATGATGGGTTGTACTTGCCGAAGGCACATAAACAACAACAAATGGCAGGAAGAAAGTCTTTAACAGCAGCAAAAGGATGTGAAGATGGTGTTGTTTGGCACAAGAGATTGGGGCATGTGCCTATGAATGTAATTAGGAAAATA